GGGGGGGTGGCCCAGTCTCGGCAGTGTTTGCCGTCTGGCTGGCGGGGCCAAGAGGGCGCTGGGAGATGAGGCTGGAAAGGCAGTTCCAGGAGAAGGATTTCGGATTTCAGCAGCTGGTGGGCAATAGGGAGCCACTGACGGCTCTAGCATGAGGAGCGACTGCTGGGGAACTGGGGCTTGAGGCTGCCCTGGGTCTCCCCGGCTCGGCTTCAGGTTCTCCATTTGCACGACAAGCAGGATTACCGGGCTCCGTGGAAACAGGTCTCCGCGCTATCTGAAAGGCGAGCGTTCCTATGAAACCTTCCGGAAGCCAAAATGGGGTAAAATGAAGAAGCAATTACCATAAATTTATATGGGAAAAAAATGTTGAGCCTTCTCAGACCCAAAAAACCACCGACCTAAGTAAACCGCGATCAAGCCCCGGCGCTCACGGCCGCGCTGCCGAGCGGCGGCGGCTGCGCGGGGCGCGCGCTCCTCCGTCCGGGCTCCAGGCGAAGCGCTGAACGCTGTTGTCGCTTTCAGCCCTTTTTCGTAAAAGCGAAAATCCTCCTGGGATGTTTCCGATAGCAAGCACAGGTACGAATGTAGGCCTTTCGTCAAAGCGAAGCGGCGTAAGGGAAACGCTCGGACGGCGGGGAGCACCTGTCTCTGGCGGTGACCCTGGCTGTAGCCTTCAAGACCCCGCGAGCCCCGACGGGGAGCCCGCAGCGTGGGGGAGGAGGGGGAGCCGCCAGGCGCTGCCCAGGGGCCGCCCCGGTGGTCCGCGCCGGGACCTCAGGAGCGGCCCCTCCGGGAGCCTCCCCCGTCAGCGCCAACTGTAGGGCCCACTTGGTGCTCAGAGGTCTCCAGTTCCCTCGGACCCCGGCCCATCTTCCTTTCTAACGCACAGCTCAGCGTCCAGACATGACGCGCTTCGCAGGCGACAGGATCTGGCCGGCGTCACAACACTGCTGTTAACCTTATGTTTTCCTGTTCCTTCGTGATGTCAGGGGGTCCGGGTTTCCCACTGAGAATAGTGGTAAAACTGGCCCTTTTAAATCAATCCATTTAGAGAGGAAACATGAGTGAATTTAAAGCAAAATGTTAACTAACACCATGAATTACTAAAGATTAGAGTTGCCTTTGGGGTTCGGGGGACCCTGACGTCGATCATCGTGGTGTTTACGTCATCCCCATGGGAGAGGTAGATGACTCCCTGCCCCCATCTTAACGAGGAGCCACTAGAGGTTCAGAGAGGGGCAGTGACTTGCCTGGATCACACTGCACAGCCCTGGCCTACCCCACAGTGGTGGCCCCAGAACTGGGAGGAAAGAGGGTTTGTGAGACATCAGCAGGCAGGGGCTAGAGGCTCTGTTCCTACCAGAACCAGGTAACAGCAGCAGAACCCATTTGTTCACTTAGGGAACAAACGCAAATGTCCTTTCTCTGCCCTACCCTGCCCTGGACATTGCTGGTCCTGAGAGAGGCGTCAGACCGGGACGCTGCTCTGGGGGTCTCAGAGAGGGAGTTTCCGTGTTGAAGAGAACAGAAAACACAACTACAGTGACTTAAACAACTGGGGTTATATCGACTCACAAAAGTGAAAAGTTGTGGGATAATGACCCTTTCAGGGTTGGTTTGATCCAGCCACTCAACTCAACACCCTTTTTTTATTCAGACTCTCTTGGGTTCAGCTTCTTTCCAAAGTCCATGGTTTCCACTTGGCTTCCAATATCTCCTGTGCCCACATAATTCCTCTTTTATGGAAAGATGCAGACAGAGAAACAGAGGGGAAGAGACTTATTGAGACAGAAAAAAAGCAGAGGTGGAGAAAAACAGAGAGAAAGATGGAGACACAAAGACAGAAAGATAGAGCCACACACACTACCAACGAAAGAGAACATCTCTCCCTCAATTATGGGACAAAAATTCCAAACTTCTTTCTGATTGGACCAACTTATAGCTCATGAACCAATCCTTGTGACCAGGGCGAAAAGCAACAGGTTGATTGGCTCAGGCCTGAACCAATCGCTAAAGCCAAGGGGACGGGCTTCTGCTGGTTGGTTCCTCGGTCCACGCCCCTGTTGCTAGGCAGCTCTGATGCCCTCTCCATCCCCTTTCTCAATCTCCACCTCCATCCTCTGCAGGGCGAGAAAAACCAAGGCTTTGAGGTCTTGTACCACAGCGTGAAGCAGGGGCCCAACTCCACCAAGGAGCTGGCGGACTTCATCCGGGAGAGGTGAGGTCCCCGTGCCCCACCCACCCCATGGCCCCCGCTCCGCAGCCCATGCAGCCACGCCCACCTCACGGCCACGCCCTGCCCAGTCGGGGCCAGATCCTGGGGGCTCGAGGAACCAAATGGGCTTTCAGAGCCTCAAAGCCAGCGGTTCTCAGCCCAGGCCCCTGTAAACTACACTGTCCGAGTTTCTAACGCCTCCTCCTAAAGAGACCATAGTGTGACCCACTTACAAGGGGAGTTTTGAAAACTCAGTCTCGTGCCCCGAGTATGATTAAAGAAAACACGTGTGATGAAATAATCTACATTTCAGCATGTAAATACTCCGATGTCCGTACCCCGGAAAGCATAATCAACTCAAATTGCAAGGCAGCGTCTCCTCCCGGCCGCCCGGTAGCTGAAGACCGTTAAATCCAGGCAGAGTCACAAGGATCATCACCAGGGTTTTCTCTTTGTGGCCGTCAGGCAGGACCCGTCCAAGCCCTGCAGGACAGGGGCCACCCTTTATTTCGTGGGCCTTCAGCACCTGGATCCGTCCGCTGTTACCTGTGGTACCCCATGGGTGCCTCTATCAAAGAATGCCCCAGGGGTGACTGGCTGTGACTGGGCACATTACTGTCCCAAACAAAATCGAAGTTCTGTTAGGACGAAAGTGTGAGCGGGTATTGTAAGCATTTAGCAGTGTCTGTCCAGGAGGAGAAAGGAAACAGGGTTTGTCTGCTGGAGCTCAGTGGGACAGAGCATATAAGGCATTAATGGTATGTGCTCAGAAGTGTCCCGCCTGCTGCCACTGCCGCTGGTAGGGAATGTGTTCCTCTCTGAGGAATTTCTAAAACGCCTCCCCCGGGCTGGGGACCTCCCCTCCTCCTTGAGAGCCACTGTTCAGATATTTGAGATGGGGAAACTGGGGCCCGGGGGCGGGGCCTCTCCCAAGGGTGCAAGAACCTTGCCCATCTTTTCCTGTCCTCCTACCCAGAGCCACCATCGAGGAGACCTACTCGAAGGCGATGGGGAAACTTTCCAAGCTGGCCAGCAATGGGACCCCCATGGGGTGAGTGGGCCATGGGTGGGGCAGGGGTCGCCAAGGCTGCAGGGCCCTGGGGTGTCGGCAGCCAGCCCTTGGGTGGACGTCTCTTCACACAGGTGACGTGTAGAACAGGGATTTGTCCCCTGCTTACAGGGCTAACTGGACAGAGGAATGGTTCTCATCCGTTCGCTCACTCGCTCATTCTGTCATTCATTCATTGAACGAATATTTACTGAGAACGCACCGTGGGCCAGGCACCATTCTGGGTGCTGGGGACCCAGCGTCAATTATGACAGATACAGGCCCGGGTCACCTTCATGGTGTGTACACCTGGGGTCTGTGGCAAGACAGATGTTGACCACACACAAAGTCCTTACCTGGGTGCACGCACCAGGAAGGGAAGAGGAGCAGGAGAGGCCAGGCTTTCTCTGCGGTGGGCCCAGCTCTGTGAGCTGAGACCTTAATGATGACAAGGAGTTGGCCGTGGGGGTGTCTGAGGGACAGAGACCCACGCAGGTGGCTCAGCCAGTGCAAAGGCCCTGAGGCAGCAATGCACTTGCTGAGGCGAATGAAGAGGCTGGCACAGCTGCAGGGCCTGGACAAGGTGGAGATGAGGTGGGAGCAGATACAGGGGGATGGGGCCACAGGGGCCCAACACACAGGTGACTTTCAAACAAGGATGTGATGTGGTTCCGTTGGCATTTGCACAGTTCCCTGTGGCTGCTGTGGGGCAAAGCTTCTGTCCGGGCAAAAATGGAGGCCACAGGGAGGGAAGGCAGGGGTAGGCCCTCTCCTGCTGAGGTGGGGAGGCCCCCCAAGCTTGGTTTGGGCAGGCTGAGGCTTAGCTGCCCTTGAGTAGCAAGTGGGTCCTGTAGTCTAGCGAGGGCTCCAGGGCCTCAGAGCCTGGATTTAAATTCCAGCTCTGATGTTCATTTGCTGAGGGGCCTTTGGTGAGTGATGGAGCCTCTATGCCTCAGTTTCCCCATCTGTCACAGGCCCGCCTCGTGTGGTTGCAATGGGGATTAAATGAATTAATAAGTGTTCATGCTTAACAGGGCCCGGTGCACAGTATGCACCTGAGCCCGTGCCGGCTGTGCTGTCTGAGGGGCCCAGGGGGGTTGGGCCTGCTGGACCTTGGGTATAACCCCCCTGTTTCCAGGACCTTCGCGCCGCTCTGGGAGGTCTTCCGCGTCTCCTCGGACAAGCTGGCGCTCTGCCATCTGGAGCTGACGCGGAAGCTGCAGGACCTGATCAAGGATGTGCTCCGCTACGGGGAGGAGCAGCTCAAGGCTCACAAGAAGGTGTGTGCCTTGGCCGCGCCCATGGGGCCCGCGCAGCTCGCGGGATCCCAGGCCTTCTGGGGCCTTGGAACTTCAGCCCCTGGCGTGTGCCCCTGAGAATTCTTTAATTCCACAGCATCGAACCCGGAATCTCACAGACCTAAGCAGTGCTGAATTTCAGACTCTCAAAATTCTAGACCAGGGGTCTGCAAACTATGGCCTGGGCCACATCCAGCCTGCCGTCTGTTTTTGTATAGCCCAAAAGTGAAGAATGGTTTTTACGTTATTAAATGGTTGGAGAAAATATCAAAAGATTTCGTGACACGGGAAAATTATGTGACACTCAGATTTCAGTGCCAGTAAATAAAGTTTTATTGGCTCTATCAATTTAGAAAGCAAATTCACCTGTTATTTTATCGCAAAATGAGTTTATTCGAGAATAGCCAAAAGAATTGCAATTCAGGGCGTGCATGCTATGGCGAACCATAGGCAAATCCTGACAGAAAGGAGGGAGTTGCGTTTATAGAGAAAAAGGGGGAGTAGGGCGGGTCTGTTCTAAAGGAAAGTCCATTGGGGGAAAGTGACAGTTCAGGGCGGCAATGGCTTCTCATTGGCTGAGCTGCGGCATTTCTCATTGGCTGAGGTGCACCATTTCTCATTGGCTGGGTTGCGGTGTTTCTCATTGGCTGAGCTGCACCATTTCCCATTGGCTGGGCTGTTGCTGGGTGGGGAGAGAAATCTTCCTTCAGTAGTGAAGTAGTTTTGCTTCCTGTCCAAGATGCAAGCGTCCTCGCTTCCTGTTTGGTGTAATTGATGGTGTGATGGGGGTGAGAGCGCCCCCTGCAGGCCCTCCGGAGCCAGTTTAGTTGAGGTTTCTTTTATTAGTTTCCACAGTTCATAGACACATCCATTTGTGACCATATTGTCTGTGGCTGTTTTCGAGCTGCAAGGGCCAGGTTGAGTGTTTGTGACAAGCCACACACATTTGCTATCTGTCCCTTTACAGAAAAAGTTTCCTGACCCCTGATCTTGAGCAGTAGAAGCCCCAGATCTTGTTATTTGATATTTCTAGACTATTAACAACCTAGAATCTTGGAAGATGCAAGCCTTCGACCCTCAGGATCCCAAAATACTTGAAGCTTATAATTCTAAAGTCATAGATGCTTTGCATTTACAAAGCCCAAGAGTGCAATTTTTATCCCCTGTTAAGAAAGGGAGTTGGTAGTACTTAATACCACTGAACCATACACTTAAAAATGGTTAAGATGGTACATTTTATGTTATGTGTATTTAGCCACAATTTTTTTAAAAAATTGGGGGACAAGAAAGTTTTCTATGGGCTGATAGGGAACAATCTTGGAAATGGATTATTAAGTGGAGAAAGCAGCGAGTTGAACAGAATGGACTGCCACCGTTTGTCATAAAAAATGGGCCAGAACAAGCACATTTGATTGTCCGTGTACTGATTATTTCTGGGGAAGTTTCCAAGTAATAATGGGGGGGAGGCTGGGGAACAGGGTGTGGGAGGTTTTTTTCTGAGTTCACCCCTTAAAACTTTCTGAAATATGAATTATGTGTAAATATAAAAAGTGGATATTTAAAAACGTAAACATTTTGAAATTAATAGAACACTCAGAAAAAGTACTCTTAGGACCCGGAATCCCAGAGTGTTTGGGAAGCTGGGAATTTCACGGGGTCCCCCTGGGGTCCGCTCAGGTTCAGGGCCCGGGCGGGGCCTTCAGGTGGCACCACGCCCCCCTTCCCCGCCCCTGTAGTGCAAGGAGGAGGCGGTGGGCACCCTGGACGCCGTGCAGGTCCTCGCGGGTGTCAGCCAGCTCCTGCCCAAGTCCCGCGAGAATTACCTGAACCGTTGCATGGACCAGGAGCGGCTGCGGAGGGAGAGCACCAACCAGAAGGAGATGGACAAGGTGGGCGCGTGGCGGCGGGTCCCCAGCCGCCCTCGGCCCATGAGGGGCTGCCTGGTGGGAGAGGGACAACGCGTCACAGAGCAATGATCATTGAACCTGCGCGTGTTCACCACACGCTGCGCGCCCCGGGAGCCTGCCTGCCGGGTGGTGGCGCCATGGGGAAGTGCCCTGAGTGTCCCCTCCCAACTCCGTCGCCTCCCTGCGCCTCGTAGGCAGAGACCAAGACCAAGAAGGCGGCGGAGAGCCTGCGGCGCTCGGTGGAGAAGTACAATTCAGCCCGTGCCGACTTTGAGCAGAAGATGCTGGACTCGGCTCTGGTGAGAAGTGGCGCCTGTACCTCGGAGCCCTACGTATTCCCGGCCCAGGATGCTGTGGGCCTCGGAAGTCCAGAACTTCCAAACCGTCGACTCCCAAAAGCCTTGGAATCACAGGCTTAAATCGATAGAATTCTAGAGCCCGTTAGCTATTGTTACTGTTGTTGACGTTATCATTATTTCAAAAGCCAAAACTTTTTTTGCCTCAGTTTCCCTATCTGTAAAATGAGGACAGTAACAGTACCTGCCTCATAGAGTTGCTGTGAAGATTTAATGAGTCACTATATGGGAAGTTTTCAGACTAGTAGTACCAGGTGCAAAGAAACCACTCTCTAAGGTATTATTGTTATTATTTCTATTATTATTGATGAGGTTTTTGAACAAGACAGGGTAGGACTGAGAAGCTAAGAGTCTCCCAACATTTCCTGGTGGCTAACAGGCCTGGATTCTGGCCCAGCCTCCATTCCTCACCCACTGTGTAACCTTTTGCAAGGCACTGCACCTCTCTAGGTCTCCATCCACCTCAAAGTACCCACTGTGTAACCTTTTGCAAGGCACTGCACCTCTCTGGGTCTCCATCCACCTCAAAGTATGAAAAGCAGATTGGTATCTCAGGATTAGGAATCAGTTTTTTTTTTTTTCTGATTTTGCAAGTGATAAAAACCTTCATTCCAACTGACAAGGAAGAGTTATAGGCTCAGGGAACTGAAGAGTTGGAGGGAGGGCTTCAGGCATGGCTGGATCTAGGTGCTCAAATGATGTTGGCAGGAAGTTGTGCCTCTATGCTTTTCAAGTCTGTTTTCCTCCCTGGGGGCTTCACTCCCAAGCAGACATGCCCTCCTGGGTGTGCGCAGCAAAGTGGCCGCCAGTGGCCCCCACATGCATCCCACCAGCTCATTGACTCAGGGTATGAAAGTGTCTCTTTTCCCATCACTCCCCCCAAAGTCCCAGGGCAGACTCTCATTGGCTTTTCTGCAAACCAATCACTGATTCCAGGGGGTTGGAATGTTCTGATTGGTCAGGCTGGGTCACATGGCCACTCCTTGTGGCCTCCACCTTCCCATCTGCCCCTCCCCTCCTGCCTCAGCGCTTCCAAGCCATGGAGGAGACGCATCTGCGGCACATGAAGGCGCTGCTGGGCTCCTACGCCCACTCGGTGGAGGACACCCACGTGCAGATTGGGCAGGTGAGTGGGCGGGGGGTGGAGGCTGGGGTGCGGGGCAAGAGGGCCCCGCCTTGGCTGGTTACACATGCCACCCACCTGGCCCAGGTGCACGAGGAGTTTAAGCAGAACATAGAGAACGTCACCGTGGAGATGCTGCTGCGCAAGTTTGCGGAGAGCAAGGGCACGGGCCGGGAGAAGCCTGGTGAGTCGGGGGGCCTGTGGGGGTCAGGCTGTGGGGCCACAGCTGCCAGGGAGAACAGGACTCAAAAGGCAGGAGCCTGAACCTCTCTGGGCCTCGGTTTCCTCATCAGAATAATGGGCTGATGACAAATCTAACTCCACAGCCCAATAGGAAGAGGATTTGATGCCTGATCTTGTGTGAATCTCTCGCAACCAGATACCAGAAGGGCCTTGAATGCCAAGCTCAGCTGTTCAGACTTTACCCTGAGGGCCCAAGGGAGCCATCGAGGGTTGTTGAGCAAAAGGGCAATATGAAAATGCCTACGTGCTGGGTCAGGGAAGAGTTGAGAACAAGTTTTGGGGTCAGATCTGGGTTTGTGTTTTCTTTGTCACTTGCTGTGTGACCTTGGACCTCTGTCTTGACTTCTCTGAGCCCCAGCATCCTCCTCTGTAAAGTGGGGATGATAATAATCCCCACCTAATGGTGTTGTGAAAGTCCAATCATTTGATGCAGGTAAAGGGCAAAGTGTGTGCCTGGCACACAGTAGGTGTTCATTAAATGCTAGTACACGGTTTACATGCCCAAGTCTAGTCAACCACTACGGTCTGTCCTTTCTCACTCCTGTCTCTATAGCTCAGCCCGGCTCAGGCCACCTCTCCTCGTGTGGGCCTCCACTCTTGCCCATCACTGGCCCCAGACCTTTCATGCCCTGCTCCTGCTCACACACCTTCCACGCTCCCCCTTGCCCTTAGGAGAGAGTCCCAGCTCCTCCTCCTGGCACTTGAGGCCCAGCCAGATACACAGACTCATGGCCTGTCCACTGGCCCACCCAGGTTCCACCCTGAAACACTGGGACACCTGGAAGTAACCCAGGCGTCGCTCCCTCAGCCCACCCCACGGCGGCGCCACCCAGCTGGGGCCAGAACCCTTGGCCTGTGGCGCTCACACCCATCTCTGGGCTGGGCTGGCATCTAGGCTCGTGCCCCGGACGCTGGGAGCTGCGATCCAGGGCCCGTCCGGTGGCCAGGGGTCTACTGCTGCCCTTCCCGACCCAGCCTGCCCGCCTGGCTGAGCTTCTCCATCTCTTCCGCCTCAGGCCCTCTGGACTTTGAAGCGTACAGCGCGGCGGCCCTGCAGGAAGGCAAGTACGTCTGGGCCTGGATGCCCAGGCTGGACCATGGGGACGGCAGGCGGGTCTGAACGGGACGGGCGCACACCCAGGGCTCAGCCGCCCCCCTCTGTCCTCAGCAATGAAGCGGCTGCGGGGAGCCAAGGCCTTCCGCCTCCCAGGACTGAGCCGGCGGGAGCGGGAGCCGCCGGCAGCTGTGTGAGGAAGCCCCCGCCTGCCCTGGCCCGGGCTAGCCCAGGATTCTTCTCTTTGCCGAGGCTAGCCCCGTATTTCCCTGCCAAGGCTAGCCCCTGCATTCCCCACCTTCTCAGGCCAGCCCTTCGGGCTAGCTCCAGGGTTCCCCCTCTTCCAAGCTGTTTGGGAATACCCCCTGCTCAGCTAACTCCAGATTCACCGCCCCCCGACTCCCACCCCAAGCGAGCCCCAGGGTCCCATTGCCTGTGGGGCTAGCTCAGGGGCTGCCCCAGGCGCCACGTCCAGTGTTGGGGGTCAAGGGATGGGCCAGATAAGGTGGAGAGGCCAGCACTAACATCTCTCTCTCCATCCCCAGAGACTCCCTGGAGCCTGGTTCAGGGGTGAGTGCTGTGGGGGGCCAGGCTGGGCTGCGAGCGGGAGGGGTCAGTCCCAGCCCCAGCCCCCAGGCCTGAAGGCCAAAGGCCCGAACTCCAGGGTGGCCAGGGCCTAGTTCAAATCCCATCTCGGCTATAACCCCCTGTGGACCGTGGGGAGGGGCTGGTGTCCCCACTTAGCCTCAGTCCCGCCCTCAGGACCGGCAGGGGCACGGCCTGTGCCCCAGGACGCTCTCCACCCCGGGGGAAGGGAGTTGCTGCTGGTGGGTTTGTTTCCAGTCTGAGGCAGGGCCCGGGGTGGGGGGACATGGCAGTGTGGCATGGAGGCTCCGTAGACGGGAGCCTGACTCACCCCTTGTCCCCCAGACGTGTCCAGAGGTGGATGAAGAAGGCTTCACTGTCCGGCCTGATGTGACCCAGAACAATATCCTCATGGCGCCCCCTGGGGGCAGTTGTTGGCACAGCAAGGACAAAGCTCTGTCCACAGTGATCCCTCTACCATTAGGAGCTCTTCGTCCACCCTGGAGGAGGCTCCAGGGTGGACAAAGCAGATCCAAATGCAGACACCTACCCCGTGGGGTCTGGGCTGGGAAAGAGGGAGAGAGAGGGGTTGTGGTGCCCCAGAGTGGGAGCCAAGAGGGCTTCCCAGAGAAGAGGGCACCAATGTTAGGGTTTAGCAGCTGAATAAGAGTTTGCTAGTTAGGGCAGGGCATGCTTGTGCAAAGGCTTGGACAGGGGTGGGGTGCAAAAACATGCTGTCAGAGCTGAGGGTGGCCAGTGGTGAGAGATGGAATTGTGCAGGGCCTCAAAGGGTCTGAGCGGGAAGGTCTGGTCCATTTGAGGGCTGCCTGGACGGAGCCCCATGCTGGGATCTGTTTGGCTCCTTGATGCAGCGCACGCACAGCTGAGCCCTCCCACTTCTCGTCCAGCGACTCTGACTTTGACGACGAGGAGCCCCGCAAGTTCCACGTACACATCAAGCCGGCCCCGGCCCGGGCCCCGGCCTGCAGCCCCGAGGCAGCCGCAGCACAGCTCAGAGCCACAGCCGGCAGCCTGATCCTTCCTCCTGGCCCAGGGGTGAGGCAGACAAGGGGTGCTCCCGTTGGGCTGCTGGGGCTGGCTGGTTGCACCCGACTTGATGCCACCTTCTTTGTCCACAGGGCACCATGAAACGCCATTCTTCACGTGAGTAGCCTGTTCAGGGGTCTTCAGTTTGGAGGAGCACATGGAGGGGAGGCTGGGCCTGGAGTGTGGCTGTGGCTCTGCTCTGTGACTTGAGGCAGGCTGCTTACCCACTCTGACCCTCAGTCTCTTCTATAAAATGGGGTCAGTAGGAAAATTAAATGAGAGCTGAAGTGGGTAGTCGGGGCCGGGAAAGACAGGTCGGCTCAGGTTTGAATCCCTCTCCGCCTGATTTGGTCACTTTGAGCAGCTGGCTGGACGGTCCAAGCCTTGGTCTCCTGGTCTGTGGAGTGGGGAGGCCTGCAGGCAGGGCGGCAGGAAGGCTCAGGAGGTCTGTCTCTCATAGGAGATGCTGCTGGGAAACCACAGAGGCCTCGATCTGCCCCGAGGGCCAGCAGGTGGGTTCCACAGCGGAGGGACATTGGGCACACACGAATGGGCGGGTGGGGGCTGTCCCTGCCCCTTCTCTCCTCCTCCCCTGCTGCCCCCCCAGGTCTCTGTCTCCTCTTCCCTCACCCAGGGAGGGAACTGAGGTCATGCTGTTTTTGAGGGAGCACTTAGTCATTCATTCGGTGAGCATTAGTGAGCGCCTGCTGTGTACTCATGCTCTTCTGGGCTCTGGGGCTATATGACCAAGACCCCTTCTCAGAGTCACATTCTAGTAGCTCAGATTTTAAGAAAAGCAAATATTCAATAATTCTAAATGCTACGAAGAAACTAAAGCAGGTAATGTGAGGGAAGACAGCAGTGGTGACCTTAGTCGGGGTGGTGGTAGAGGGCCTCTCTGGGTGGGGATTTGCAGAGGAGTGGGTGGTGGCCAAAGGGAGAGCTGAGGGGGCGGGGCTCCAGACAGAGAGTAGGGTGTGCAAAGGCCCTGAGGTGGGGGAGGCATGGAAACAAGGAACCCACCCTCCTTGTCCCCTCGGGCCCCAGCTGTGCGGAGAAGCTGCAGTCGGATGAGCAGGTCTCCAAGCACCTCTTTGGGCCGCCCCTGGAAGCCGCCTTTGACCACGAAGATTTTACAGGTGAAGGAGGTAGGGGCTTGGGCGTGGGCGTGGCCAACGGGAGAATGGGTGGGGCCTTGCAAGGGTAGGCAGCTTGGGGAGGCCAGAGGGTGGGCCAGGCTGGAGGGAGGATGGGGGTCCTATGTGGGTGAACGGGAAGATAGACGCATCAGTGTGAGGGTGGGGCGGGGCCGCAGGGCGAGTGGGCGGGGCCGGCGAGAAGGCGGGGCCTTTGTGGGAGTGGTGGTGGCTGTGGGTTGATGGGCGGCATCGGTGGAGATGGAAGCGACCAGAGGGCGTGGCCTGGGTGGGCGGGCCAGGGCTTTCAGTGGGGGCGGACCCTTCCTCGGGTGGGCGTGGCCTGCAGGGGGTGGTTGGGGACTCCATGTGGGCGGGGTCTGGAGCTGCCTCCCCTCCTCCCCAGGCTCCAGCAGCCTCGGCTTCACCTCCAGCCCCTCTCCTTTCTCCTCCTCGTCGCCCGAGAACGTGGAGGACTCTGGCCTGGACTCGCCGTCGCACGCGGCGCCTGGCCCCTCCCCGGATTCCTGGGTCCCCCGCCCGGGCACCCCGCAGAGCCCACCTGGCTGTAGGGCGCCGCCCCCCGAGTCGAGGGGGACACGGCCCCTGCAGCCGTCGGACTCGCCACAGCCCCTCGCGCCGTCCCCGTGCCCCTGGGGGCTGGAGGCTGTGGCTGGAGGAGGTGAGTCCAGTGGCCGACTTGCCTGAGCCCTGGGGGGAGAGCGCCTGCTGTGACCAGCGCTGCTCAGGGTGCTGGGGACTCAGCAGTGACAGAGGCCGGCAGAAACCCCGACTGTCGCAGGGACAATGAGAGGGATATTTAATGAGGCAGGAGGTGGCAGGTGCTGGGTGAGGGCTCAGAGAGGTGGGCCTCCCTGAGGAGGGGCCATCTGAACTGAGATTTGATGGAGATGAGGACGTTCCCAGGAGAGGGCACAGCCCATGCAAAGACCCTGGGGTGGGAGTGGGCTTGAGGAACCGCGACGAGACCTGTGTGGCTGGAACAGAGTGCTGAGAGGGAGAAGGAGAGAGTGGAGGGGGAGATGTGGACAGGGCCTGGTCATCCCTGGGAGAGATGTGAGTCTTACCAAGGTGGGAGCCGTGGGAGGGAGGGCTGTGAGCAGAGGAGGGACCTGGCTCAGACTGCAGGCGCCTTCTGACCGCTTGGGGGTGAGGGCCGGGACTGAGGAGCAGGGAGGTGAGTCCAGGTAAGTGGGGATGGGCTCCTGGTCGGGAAAGACCGACTGGGGTGGGAGCGCAGAGGAGACAGGTGCGGGGAAGGGGCAGGGAAGATGGGGAGGAGGAACTGGGGTGGGGGCACGTCGAGCTGGGCCTCTCAGGGTCAGGTGGATGGTGGACCCTGAGTTCCGGGAGGCCAGGCTGAGCACTCCGTGGGCAGGTGCACGAGGATGTCATCAAAGCGGGAGGGGAGGCCGCCCAGGGAGAGGGGATGGGGGGGCCCAAGGCGGAGCTGGGGCCCAGCCAGAGGGCGGAGTGGGAGGGGACCGCTGGTCAGTGGGCTCCTGGGGGCCGGAGGCGGAGGGAATGTGGGCTCTGACCACAAGGTCTCCAGCAGTGTTGACGAGTGCTTGGCACTATCCATAGTTAGAGAAAACTCTGGTTGGAGCCGGTTCAAGGGAGGTTCCGGGGGAGTGAGTGTAGACCATGAGTGTAGACAAGTCAAGTTGTCTGAGCTTCACTGTAGAACAGGGATTCTCAACTGGCCGGGCTGATTCTGCCCCGCAGGGGACACTTGGCAGTGTCACCACTGATGCTTGATTGTCATCAGTGCTGGAGGCGGGGGGATGGGTACTCCTGGCATCTGGTGGGTGGAGGCCAGGGGTGCTGCTCAGCGCTCTTGGATGGGATGCGCAGGGCAGCCCCCCACAGACAGTGATCAGGCCCCAAGTGTCGGCTGTGCTGTCAGGAAGCCCTGGGGCAGAGAGGAGCACAGCCTGGCGTAGGTGGGACTGAGGCAGGTGAGCACAAGTGTGTAGCCGGAGCAGAGTGGCGGACCTGGGGAAGCAGAGAGGGAGGGGAGCTTGGGTGTTACATTGTGATTAGTTAACTTAGAGACTGACTGGGACGTGGGCCAGGGTAGGCCACCCTCATACTCTCAGAGAGGACTGGTCACAGAATTGCCCAATATTGGATAAAAGCCCTCTGCCAAATCCCCCCTGTAGTAGGCCTGCCTCCTACGCATCCAGCCCTTGCTTCATACCCCCAGGGACCGGGGGATCACCCCTTATTGGGCCACCAGTCTGGTGTCTGGGAGGCTCAGGGTTGTGGATGGCATCTGCAGACCCAGGGCTGCAGACCATCAGGACGTCTCCCCACATAAGCCTGACTCCCTGTTTTGGCCTGAGTTCCTCCCCTGAGGAGGCCTGAGAGGTGCAGGGCCGCATCTCACACGTCTGTTCTCATGCTCGCTCCCCAGCCCCGATGCCTGTACCTGCCGACCGTACCGCCGGCGAGGGCCTGGCCGCCCCAGCCCGGAGATGCCGCTCCAGGAAGGTGTCCTGCCCCCTCACCGGCAGCAGCGGGGATCTGGTGGGTGAGGGGGCGTGGCAGGAGCCGTGCTAGGGTGGCCTCCGGGGTCAGCATCAGAGCGCTGCTCCAGGGGTGTTCACAGCCCAGCCTGTCTCCCTCCCTTCCAGTCTCGTTCCCTGAGCCCGTCCCCGCTGGGCTCTTCGGCCCCCAGCATGGTCCCAGAGCGGCCCAGCTTCTCCTCTCAGACAGCACACGGTGCGTGGGGCTCTCTGAGCCTCGGTTTCCCCTCTCTGCTCTGGGGGTGGCTGGGTGGTCCGACGGAGGCCCTGTTGGCAGAGGGCAGGTTCTGCAGCCCAAGCCCTGTGCTCAGTCCGTCTGTCCCCATTCCCTCCCCACCACCCCAGGAGTCTCCCGGGGCCCGAGCCCTGTGGTCCTGGGCTCTCAGGATGCCCTGCCCGTGGCCACTGCCTTCACGGAGTATGTCCACGCCTACTTCCGTGGCCACAGCTCCAGGTACGTGGTGACGGAGGACAGTGCAGACAGCGACCAGGCGAACAGGGCTCCCTGGGGCTGTGTGTCTGGGTTCCAGCAGGAACAGCCTTCCTGTGTGCTTCATGACCTGCTTTCCCATGGAAGGGCCTTGAACACTGAGCCGAGCAACCACGCCCCTGTCCCAAGGGCAGTGGGAGCCATGGAGGGCATGTGAGCAGGGCTAGGCATTGTTGTAGTCACAGTTTAGAGGAACTACTCTGAGGTTGCTGTGGGCACTGAACTGAAGGGAGCGAGACTAGAGGCCACGCCCCTGGAGGGGGCAGATTAGGGGTGAATTGAGGGCCAGGGATAATCTGGGGGTGGCACCCAGCAGGAAAGACCTTAAAATCAAACCACAAAGAGGAGGAGAGTATTAGACCAGAAACCCATGCTGAGGACAGTTACAAGATTAAATGTTTTGCTTTGAGCTTCCTGGTGGCCTAGGGGAATAAGAGAACTAGAGAAGGGGGTGTTCCTGCCTCCTTCAGCCAGTGTGGATTCTTCTTGGTGTCAGGTTTGCTGTCCAGCCAGGGATCAAGGAGAAGACGTTGGGGATAAGGATGTGGGCATGGTCGTGGCCTTGCTGCTTCTGAGGGGCTGGGGAGCCACAGGCTGCAGTGGAGCCGGGACAGAGGGGAGGGTGAGGTGCCAGGCAGAGCCCTGAGCCAATTCGTGGTCCCCTCACCCACACTCCAGCTGCCTGGCTCGAGTAACTGGGGAGCTGACCATGACCTTCCCTGCCGGCGTCGTGCGTGTGTTCAGCGGGCCCCCACCCCCGCCAGTCCTCAGCTTCCGCCTCGTGCACGCGACCCCCATTGAGCACTTCCAGCCCAATACTGAGCTGCTCTTCAGGTACAGCGGGAGGAAGAGGGGCGGGGCGGAGGGGCCCAGAAGCTGGTGGGCGCCAGGAGCTCCCCAGCTCTGAATTCCTGCTCTGTCTTTTGGGATTTGCTATGTGGCCGTTGGCAAGTCGCTTTCCCTCTCTGAACCTCGCTTTCCTTTCTTCCTTTGCTGCCCGCCCCCGCCCCCGACCTCCCCCGCGGGTCATGCTTTGCTGGGCCCAAGGTGAGCCGGGGAATCCGCATCTTTAGGAAGCCCCTGGGGTAGCCGGATGCTGGGGGCTTCTCCCGAGGGTCGAGGGTCGGGGTGATGATTCCCGGTCTCTGCAGTGACCCCTCCCAGAGCGACCCCGAGACCAAAGACTTCTGGCTCAACATGGCGGCTCTGACCGAGGCCTTGCAGCGCCAGGCCGAGCAGAACCCGACTGCGTCCTACTACAACGTGGTGCTGCTGCGGTACCAGGTAGGGCCGCCGAAGGGGCGGAGGGCGGAGGGCGGAGGGCGCGGGTA